ACACTCTTTGACCATACTGTGCTCCTCAACTCTTGTCACTGTCCTTTCTCTCAGTGCCTCTCCTTTTACAAACTCCTACATGGGCCGATGGAAGTAGCAGCAAATCAATCTTGCTCAGCACATTGTCAGCCCAGGCTCCTGGTGTCCCCAAGACTTCCCTTACGTGACGGCATGCAGCAGTGGGCTGAAGGGCCGAGGTGCAGGGTGATGGGGGCTGCTGTGCCCTCAGGTGTGTGAACGCCCTCTCAAAATAATACAGAGCATGCTACTAAATTGAATTTTTTTCCCTTAATTAGTCTGCTTGAATTTAAGCAAAGCCAATGTGCTACTTTTCCAGTCTTCCCACCTCTGTGCTGTAGGCTTTGGAAAGGCTGGCTCGTAATTTAGAGCACGCCAGCTACAGACTCCAGTAGGTTTATTGCTTGTAATAATATACAGCTTTGGCTTCACTTTGTGAGGCCATTGCTCTCCCTCAGAGACAGAATGCTACACTGAACATGTAAGTATTTTTAGCAGTGCTGTTCTCCTTCTCCAGTAAAGCCATAAAAACCAAGGACACAGACATCTGAAGCATCTTTTCACAGCTTTGGATAATTTAGCATTGGCCACAACCCCATGGTTTGCAGCGTGCACCAGCCCAGAGAATGGCAACAGCAAACAACAGCCTGTGCTGCGAGCACAAGCACCAGTCATGTTCTCTGCTGCATAACTTACAGAATTATGGAATATCCTCAGTTGGAAAGGACCCACAAGGATCACCAAGGCAAACTCTATGTATGAGAGCCGTGTCCAAACGCTCCTTGAGATCAGGCCGTTTGGAGATGTAGACTGCCATGAGGCCTCCCCTCTGCATCCTCTGGGACAGAAAGCAGCTTGCCGGGTTACTGGGATGGCCATGGCCTCAGGCATCATTCGCTAGGAGCTCTGACAGCCCCTCCAGCACCAAACAGGACAGGGATTTTGCTTGTGGAAGCTTGCCAGGCTTCAGAAGGCACTCTTAGTATCTCCTGGCTGAGGAACTGAGAGCAATGTTCTAGCAGCTTAGCGATGATTCAAATTTTCCTTTGAAGTGCCAATGAGATTAAAATAAAAGACTTTTTTTTTTTTTTTTTTTTAATTTTCAGATCACCAGAAAAATCAGGCTTAATTCTGGTGGGAAACAGGAACAAAACTGCCTCTGTGTTGACCACAGCACAGCACTGTCACATGAAGTGCAAAGAGGTGACGTGGTGAAACTGAGAGCGCTTCAGATTCAACGTTGCAGTTCCTCTTCTTGGCTGTGCTGGGGACCAAGAGCTGGTGTGAGGCTTGTCCTGCTCATCCTCTTGCCTCCCAGCAGATCAGTGACCACAAAGCTCTCAGTGCCTCACAGTGCTCTAGCGTGCCATTCAGTGGATTGGAAGGGACTTGGGATCAAGGTCACGTTCCAGTATGGGATGGAGCATTCTGGAGGTGGGAACTCACCTTTATCTAGCTTCGGTGTGGAATAATGCAAGTACGAGAGAAGGTCATGAGATAGGACCAGCAGTGGAAACAATAGATTGGTTTCTTTAGCCCTTTGTTCTGAGCTCAGCTTTAGCCATCCAAGCTCTGACAAAAGTAGAGATATGACATCAAAGGCCTGGAGTACAAGTGTTATGGGGAGCAGGTAAGGGAGCTGAGATGGGTAGCCTGCAGAAAAGAAGGCTCGGAGGAGACCTCATTGCTCTCTGCAACTCCTTGGGAGGAGGTTGTGACAAAACAGGTCAACTGGGTAACAGCAATAGGATGAGAGGTGATGACCTTAAGCTGTGCCAGCTTTAGGGTGAATATTAGGAAAGACTTCTCTGAAGGAGCACCGAGGCACCAGCATGGGCTGTCCAGGGAGGTGGGGGAGTCGCCACCTCTGGAGGTGTTCCAGAACAGTGGAGATGTGGCACTGAGGGACGTGGTTTAGTGGGCAATATTGGTGGTAGGTCAATGGATGGACCTGATGGTCTCAGAGGTCTTTTCTAACTTTAACGACTCTATGATACTATGATGGAGAATGAAAGCTGTAGTGCTATCAATAGCTTTGGGCCAAGGAACGAGAGGAAGCTCCTTCTGAGATTGAAGTCTGAAATATGTTTGTAAGGAAGTTGGAAATCATTTCCCCAACACATTTTTAGTTTTTTTTCTTGTGGAAGGGAAGTCTTTTTTATATGACCTTGCCTGAACAGCCTCTGGACCTTGCCTCTGGTCAGTCATGTGGTTGACCCAGGAGTGCTCTATTTCCCACAGACTCTGCTTGAACGTGCAGTGCACTTCCAGGTCTTGCACGGTGGTGTAAAGTTCAGCTGAGGATCACTCTGTTTAGCTCTGCTGCAGGCTCATAATCCCAGTGGGTCAAAATGTTTAGAGTTGAAGAGGTTACGGGCTTTTCTGTGGAGTATTTAAACTCCATCTGTCAAACCACTTGGATAAAAGAAATTTATAGACTCTGCCAGCAGTATATTAAGTTAGCTGTTAGCTGTTTCCTTGTCTTTGGTTTGGTGAAATGTATTGTTTTCATGTTGCCCTAAGAAAATAACTAAACCATGGCAAATTTATGGCTACAAAAATTACGAAACCTAGATTGACAGAAAAACAGTACCAGTGAAGAAATGGAATTCAAGGAACCACATGTGGGTGAGAGGCATGTGAAGAAACCTCTTGGCAAGGCCATCGGAACAACTTGGGGGCCTGATCTTCTCAGAAAGCCATCTGAGAGACTCGAGACCTGCTTCATCTTCAACTTAACTGCACACAGAATCCACACAAGGAGCTTGCACACTAAAAGAAGAATCACAGAAAATGAGACAAGACTTTTTTTCTCAAGGTCCAAACAACAAGACTGAAAATGGGGAAGTTTGGTACTTCACTTTTGCAGAAAACACTTAATGTCGCTCCCCTGACCATTGTTTGGTACTTCAGTATAAAATACAGATGCAAGTCTGATAAATCAAAGGCTTCACAGGTTGCTTTCTTTCCATTTACAAGAGAAATGGCAGTGCAGGGCCATGTGATGTCATCTAGGCAACTGTGAGGCCACTTCAGTTCCTCCTGGCACTTTGAAGAAGGTCAGTGTTTGACCAGGGACCGTGTAAGTGAGGCTGTGTCTCGAGCAATGTCAGCTCTAGGACACGATAAGCACTGCTCGAGTGCCTGTCACTGCAACACCCCAGCCAAGATAGCTTTTCTACTCTCTACTGTTCTGATAAAACAAATATTTCCATTGACTGAGTGCTGTTTCCCCACTGCAGCCCTTTCTCCCTCCCCCTGCTATTGCCTGGGCATCTCCCACGCCCCCCAGAACAACAGCCTAAGCTCATTTCAGTGTAGCAGCAAGGCAGGAGCACTTCATAGCACTTTATGTGAGCATAGGAATTGCAGGCCAGCTGGTGAGGGGCAGCCATGTTACCTAGTTCTTCCTCTTCCAGCTTCCACAAAAGGTGTCCTCTTCCTCAGCTGCTAAATAAATTCAACACAATTCCAAGATCTTTGCCCATCACATAAAAGGAAGGTGTTTACTGGGGTGATAAACAACCAACCCGATGCCTCCACCAGGTAGGACTAAAAAGGACAAGAAACCACAGAACCACAAACTCGTTGAGATTGTCAAGGACCTCTGGAAGTACTCTAAATGCCTAAATATTACAAGTAGAGCTGAACACAGTATAAATACCCAGCTAAATCAGGCTTGAAACCACTGCTTAGAAATGCATGACAGCACAAACAGTACAGCTTGCTATTTGTTTTGGTAGGAGGACTGGTGTCAATGTGGTTGTTGCACAGGGAGTGAGAAAGCAGACACACTCTTACAGCCCCCAAATTTGGGCTGAGTTAGGAATATAGTTTAAGGGCCATTGTGGTTTAGGAGCTAGTAGCTCAGGGCTCCTCCGGCTGCATGGTTGTCCCACAAGGAGAGCCCATGGGACTCTGGAAGCATTTTCCTGGTTTAACAGGCATGGTACAAGCAGCATGCTGAATGCAGTCTGCACACGTATTAGCAAATGGGAAAAGAAAGAAGCAAGCTGCAGAAGTCTGCCTGCGAGAGCACAAACCAGAGAATCGGCTGCTCCAGCCTCTCTGCACACCACTTGCCCAGCCATGCATTGTGCATCCAGCTCTCAAAAACCACACACGGATATCACTGGGAATCCACATCCTCCACAGCACCCAGGATGTGAGTAACGCTGCATTTTGCTGCAGGTGAAGGACTGAGACCTGCTTGCAGGGATCTTCCTCAGCCCTTCGCAGTCTGCAGCTTCCAGATGGAATTGCTGTCTGCCTTATGTGCAGCCCCTTCCCACCCACACACATTCCTTTCCAGCAATGCTGCTTTCTTTGGCTTATCATTCTTATCTTTTTCTCAAACTGACTTAATTGGTGCCTTTAACTCTCGATGCTGTTTGTTGGTCCCTCCGATATCCCTTGTTTATTCTAAGAGCAGTCATACCCTAAAGCATTACATTTCAAAGTAGCATCCAAACTGAGGAAGGTCTTTGCAGTTGCAGTGTGATCATGTTGGCTCCGTGAGCTCACCCACACCCCATAAAGCACAAGGCATGACAAGATGGGCTGCACTTTACCAGCTGCAGAGCTGTCTGAGTCCAAGTGACACACAGCCGAGGTTCTCCCAGGAAGGACAAATCTGGTTTTAGTTAGCTTCTTTGAGACAAAGAAGCTGCATCCTCCTAGCAGTCTGCTCCCACTGCAGTTACTGCTCTCTGTGCTCTCAGTGTGGTTGGCTCAGCTCACCACGCACACTACACCCACTCTGGTTGTACAAGAGCAGCTCACCTGTCCCTGCAACAAACACTTGTGTCATGGCCACACCATGGGCCAAACCCTGACACGAAGCAGACGGGTGGTGCTTTTAACACATTAGCATCTTCTACCAGGGGAAATGCTGGAGTATTTTTAGCATGGCTCCAGTGTTGGTCTCTGCACTGTTTTGGCCTTTTTTGGAATTTTTAACTCTGGAAACAAATACGTTACCCTTTACAATAAACAACACCTACTTGCTTTTATTGTACAATACAAAGAGGGCTATGGGCTGTACTCCTGAAGACAATAAGGGAGAAAAATAAAGCAGTTCCTTTTGACACAGCTTTCCCCGTTCGTGACACCAGGCAGCTCTCTCACTGCTTCCCTCATCTCACCTGTCCCACTTACAAACTGAGCTTTGCCTTCACTGCAAAATTCCAACCTGAGTTGTTGCTCAATTCCTTGTCTCATGTGATGCATGCGGGCTCCGTAAGAGGTCAGAGCAGCACCCTTGCCAACTGCATCCCATGCAGCTGCTCTGCACACACACCACAAAATGCATTTCCCAAGGAAGGTCAGAGGGGGAAGCATCTGATGATGGTACATTTGGTTTCATCCCATGCAAATCCCATCACAGCACGGTACCGTCTGTCACGCTGTGCTGTGGGGAGAGCCCAGTGACACAGAGCGAGGAGGAGCGAGTCCAGAGAGCGAGGAGGAGATGGAGTCTTAGCAAAACACAACAAGAAGTGACACAAGGCGAGTCTGAAGACTGAAAGGCGATCGCATGCAGTGAGGGAGGGCTGCTCCTCCTCTCTTCTTCCCATTTCATTTCAAATCGTAGCTCCTTCCTCCTCTGGTCCCCATGGGAAACAGGGTTCCTGGGACATGAACGGTGGGAGAGGCTCCTGTGGCCATCAAAGGAGAATGAAGTCCATCAGCTGCCACCAGCTAAGGGAGTGGAGAACAAGTTGCGTCCGTACCAGTTCTTCTTTTCCTCCTCTTCAGAGCCCACGGCCACTGCTTCTGGAGTGGGGGAGGAGATGGGGCACGGGGCAGTGGGACTCATCTCTCGGGCAGCAACACGAAGAAGACGGCCTTGAGGAAGTGCCCAAAGCTGCAGATGGCGGCCACGAGCCAGTGGGAGCGGAGACTGGGGTCGGTGCTCACCACGCACTTGGTGATGTCTGCCTGAGGAGGGGGAGCAGAGGTCAGTGGCCATGCCCAGACCCACCCGGCCACTGCGTACCTCAAAACAAGCCACGCCTGGGAAAAGGAATGCTACAGAAAGATCAGCAAGCATTTCCATTTTCAACAGCAAAATAAAAGAAACTTTCCTCCCTTTCCCAGGAGAAGCCTTGGCAACAACAGCCTTCCCATCCCTTTCTGCAAAGCACGATGCTTCCCTGAGGTTGTCCTGTTTAATATCAGCTCAAGTTGCTTGCACTTTTTCTCTTGCCTTAATGTTTTATTTGGAGCTCGTTCAAGGAAGTAAATCCATGATTTAAATCGCGAGCAATGCAAGCTTTGTTTGTGGGAATGTGTCTGCTGGCTGCGGTGCTGCCCGGCACATGGGCCAAGAGGTATGGATTGCTGGGCAGCCACTGTCAGGTATTGACAGGAATGGCAGCCAGCGATGAACAGAAATAACAATGCAGTGAATTCATGGAGATGTGATCTCGGCTGGGACGGGGAGGAGAGAGCAGAAAATATCTGGAGGGTAAAGCGAACAGGACAGAAGCGGATAGAAAATAACATCTTCTGGGAGGGGTAAGCAAATTTTTATTCGCTTACCTGCAATTTTGCCTGCAAAATTTGTGTTGTGGTTAAACATCAGCCAAGCACAAGGAACTATGGGCTGCAGCTCTGTGACACAGGGTGCACTGTTACCGTATCAGTTTGATGAGGTTTTCAGAAACACCAGGGACTGTAGGGTGGCAAAACTGAACCAAAACTGAGAGACAAGGAGGGCAAATATCCATTGGCCTCACAGCTCTCTCTTTACACCATGGCTTGGCAAGCAGCCCTTTTCTGACTGGAGTACTATGTCCAGACCTGAGGCCCCAGAAGAAGACAGATGCAGAGTTTGGATGTTTAACGGATGTTAAAGGAGGTCCAGAGGAGGGCCATAAAAACGATCAGAGGGCTGGAACACCTTTCCTATGAAGACAGGCTGAAGGAGCTGGGCTTGTTAAGCTTGGAGAAAAGAAGGCTATGGGGAGACCTCATTGTGGCCTTTCAGTGGTTGAAGGAAGCATAAAAGCAGGAGTGAGCTTTTTGCACAATCTGATTTCAATAAGACAAGGGGGAACGGTTTTAAACTAAGAGAGGGGAGACTTAGGTCAGATGTTAGGAAAAAATTATTTACTCAGAGGATGGTGAGACCCTGGCACTGTTCCCCAGAGTAAAATCCCTTCCAACTCAAATCATTCTGTGATCCTATGACTGAGAAGAGTGCAGCCCTCCTTGAAGAGAGGAATAAGGATCACTGAACATCCCAATAATCTTTTCCAGTGTTCCCACCTGCATTCAAGATGCCAGTGAGACACACTTGAGCAATCTTGGCAATAGTTAGAAGAAAACAAGAGGGTGGACACAGGGACAAAGCGAATACAGCTTTGTTAACTGATGCCAAGATCATCTACGTGTGGAAGGTCTGATAATAGCAGCCCCAGGAAGCCTGAAGGCTGCCATGCTGCATTACCATGCTGCTTTGGGGTCTCTGAGCTCACACACACCCGGCGAGCAGAGATGGCTTGAGTAGGGAGGAGTGGAAAGCAGCAGGAAGCTGGATCAGTGCATGGGGAATTCCTGGGGTGAACAGCAAGGTAGAGAAATGCTGCAGCTGTAAAAGTCTTGACACTCAGTGCCAGCAGAGCCCACGGCTCCCTGTGAGCCAGAGCCTCACGGTAATCAGTGCTGGGTGAATGCACCTGGTGAGCGGCAGCTACAGAGATGGCTGATCTGAGATGAGCATCACCTGCTCTGTGCTGATGCAATGAGCACTCTAATGTGGCCAGCTGAGAGGAGCCGTGCTCAGCAGCACCTTGAGACTGGTACTGCGCTCGCTTAGATAAACACAACTGCTCAGCTGTTGAACAATTGCCTTGGTTATTGTAATCCAAACAAAGCGTACCAGATAAGGCACTGAAACTGAAAATTTCAAAGCTGCTTAATTAAATAGGCCTTTGTGAGGCACTGATAAGCTGCTACAGTGACAGTTTGATCTCTGCCTGTTATTTATTCATTGAACAAGTTCGGGTCTCAAGCTCTTCTGTGGAGCAAACATCCATAGCAGCTGCTAAAAAAGCTTTCTACTCCCCTGCAAAGCCACTGCTGAGGCTGCGAACTCTCCTTGGGCAGAGATGGTATCCCCAAGAGTTAAATGTTTTTTCTTCCTGCTACAAGTGTTGGGCTTGTGAGGTGTTGAACCATGGCAGTTAGAGGCTTTCTCCACCCTATAAAATATGGGACTGGGGGGCCATAATAGACCATATGGGTCCCTACTGCTGAGCAGAGGCTCTCCCAGCACAGCCCGGAGCACAGAGGTTCCTCTTGGCAGCCCAGGCAGGTGTGTGGTGGGGCCATGTGCACAGAGGAAAGGCGGACACCAGGCCAAGACAAACCAATGGCAGTGAGGTCAGGCACCAGATGAAAGGGACTCCAGCACAGAGCTTGGCCCTTCTGGGAACAGGGCTGAGAAATGTCACGCTGCAGTGCCTAGCTGAGAGGAACAACATTCAGGAAAACACAGCACAAAGGCAAGGGATGAGGAGACTTCCCCTCAGCTGAAGGAGCCACTTGTTTCTGGAGGGAAGCTATCTCCTCTGTGCAGCCCAGAGCTGCTGATAAGTGTGCTTACAACAGGAGGCAATCAGCACCAACCAGCAGCTTTCACACTTTCTTGTCTGATCAGGGGCTTCCCTTTCCTAGGGCCGGATCCTGAGAGCAAGCAGCATGGCTTCAGCAGCACCAGGGCAAATGCAATGGCACTCGAGTAGAAACAGCTGCACCAGGAGCAGACAAGGACAGGGCTCCTCTCCTCAGCTGCTGAGAGCCCATTCTGGGCAGGGGATGGGCTCTGTGGCTTGCTTGCTATGCAGCAGACTTTCCAAAAATATCCATTTGGAACTATCAAACTCTTTGTTTTGAAGTCTAACAACACACCACAAAAATTAAAACAAGATGTTGACTTATCTGAACATACATGGTTTACCAGAACAAGGAAGCAACTTAGTTGGGAAACTAGAAGGGGGCACATTCCCGTGCAACATTCCAATTTCAAGGAAACTTTCTTTTTTTCCCCCCCAAAGGAAAAACTTTCAGAGAAAACATTTCAACCAGCCCCACAGGTGCTCAGAATAAACCTCACTGATGGGCTGAGGTGGGGACAGGAACAGTGCAGCTTGGTGAGTTCTTTCCCAGGGCATCCTCTCCAGTACCTCAGCACAATTATCTGTGCAGACACAAAATGAAACACACAAAAAAGTTGGGGCATTCAATACGATGGTTACTCTCCAGCCCAGCCAATCAGCCCACTGGCCCCAAGGTAGCAGCTTTAGAGAGAGCAGGGATGACCAAAGGTTGCAATGACTCTTAGGTGGCAAGGAATCCAAAAATCAGGACACTGCTACCTTTCCAGCTGCCCCCCTTCATGCACATCACCCTGCTTCTGACTCTGCCACAGCTCAGCCATCAGCTCGAGCTCCTGGGGAGGTCACTGGTGAGGTGTCTAGCTATTTCACAGCTCTTACTCCAAACTGTTCTCCATAGGAGCACTGTATTTCCCATGGGCTATAGAGAGAACCACAGAAATCAAACACCGGGTGATGGCTCCTGCTTACAGTCTGCTACTACAACTGTCTGCCTGCTCCAGAGAAATTCAGGACAGGAACAGAAGAGGCATCAGTGGGTGAGGATTGAATTAGTGCACAGGAAGCTGAAGACCAGAACAGCTGAACTGTTGAGGACAGGGCAAGGAGATAGTAACAGAGCTATGAGAGCCTAGCACAGGAACAATCTCACTCAATGTTATTCTACAACAAGATGCATTAACTGGGCTGTTTCCTAGTCTGCCCACAGGGAAGCAAGCCAGACCAGCCAGCATCTCTTACCCAGCCTCCTCGCCTCTTCAGCCACGTCACCAAGGTCTTGCGGACAAACTCTCCCAGGCAGTCCACGATGGTGTGGACCATGGCTGGCTGTGCATGACGCACACAGTCCACTGCCAGCCCTGCTGCCACGGCGTAGAGAGACACCACCTTGCCCCATGTTATGCCTGGGAAAAGAAGAGAGGGTGCTCACACTTACATGGATCCCTCCTCCATCACAGGTGCCCACTCTGTAAGCAGGAGGGTTTGAGTGTGGCTGCAGCTGTGGTCCTGCATGCTTTCCTGTGAGTGATTAAAACTGGGCATGCTTTGACCGCTGCTTAGCGCCATACGTGCAGCTTTGGAGGAAGCAGCCCAAAGACATGACCCAAAGACATAAAAACAATGCTTTTTGGTTTTTTTTCTAGATTAGAGGAGTCTGTTCCAAAGTGACAGACAGAGCACATAAGCAATAAGCATCTGCACAGTCCATTCTGCCACGACAAAGACCAAACGAGGGAGGTAGAGCTACAGGCTCAAGACAGTTGGAGTCCTCCTGGAGTCAATCTCCAACCAGGTAACCCCACGAGCATTTCACAGCTCATACCTGTCCCACCAAGGGCAATGCAGCCAGCCATGCCAGCCAGCTATCTAACCTCCCTAAGCAGAGCTTCCTGCAAGGCTGGCTTGCCCGCAGCAAGAGCCCCATGGATGCTGTCCCAGCAGCAGCCATCTCCCTGCAGCGCTGGCAATCCATGCCCAGGCTGTGCTCTGGGCACCAGCCAGCTCCAGGGTATCCCTATATGAGCCAACACCACAGGGTGTAAATCCTCCACACTCAGGCATCACAGCTAGCAATCTCTGATGAGGCTTTTAACAGGAGCAGCAACCTGGGAACGCAGCCCTCTGCATGCACACAGCACAGGGGAATGTGGATTTCCTTTGGCTATGCTGGGAAGTTTGCTTTACAGAGAAACTATTCAAATATCAGCCGCAGGAATGGTTTGTTACGCTGACAAATATCCATTTGCTGTTCCAAAAAAGCAGTTCTTCCACTCATGACTAATGCGACATCAATATCTACAAAAGATCATTTTGCTAGGCACTGTAGCAGCAATAATAACCCACAGTAGTGTCCTGTGATGCTCTGTTCTCCATAGGCACTGTCCCCAGGATCATAGGAAGTTTATTGATAAAGTGGCTGTTATTTTTCTGGAGGTGTTCCAGAACCATGGGGATGTGGGCAGCGGGCATGGTGGGATGGGCTGGGGCTGGACCTGGGGATCTTAGGGATCTTTTCTAACCTCTGTGATCCTATGATTCTATGGTTCTAACACACAGCAAAGCAGTCTGCCATATGGACATGTTGGTCCAGCTCCAAGGAAGGACAGAGGGAAAGATCCTTCAGTTCTTGCCTTCCCTACTGATTGATGGTCCTTCTTGCAGGCTATTGGATTCTAGATATTTCAGGGGGGTAAAGCCCTCCCCAGCACAGGGACAGAGCCCTCCCCTTCACATGGATGACACAAACTGGCAGCAATGCTTGTCGAAGTGATGGATGTGGAGGGCTCAGTGGTCACTTCCCATCCCCTCTTCTTTACAGAGCACTCTATAAGGGTCAAATCAATCCCTGAGGCTGCTTCCTGGCAAACCTGAGCTGCAGGGGTAAGGGAGTAAGAAATCCCTTCCCTCACAATTCCTCCATGCCAAAGCTTCCATCACTGCTGCTGGAGGCAGGGTGGCAGCAGCTGGATGCATCTGCACCAGCTGAATGATTGAAGAGTAATTAAAGCAGAAAATTCCCTAAAATTTCTGCCCACGGAGGTGGGACAGAAAAAAATGAGACAAACCACTTAGAAAGTGTTTTTAAAAGTAAGAAATACAAGCTGCAGCCTCAAGGCCAGCCTTGGAGCTGGAGGTATGTAAACACTGCGAGCCCAAGGGAAAATGAATTAGCAGGAAAGAGCTGCTCTTGAATGCATTCCCACAGCATGTCAGCGAGCCCAGGGGAGCGTGTGGCCACGCAGCCCCCAGCACTGTGCTGCCCAAGCACTCAGACAAACTGCCCTCATCCCACTCGCATCCATCCGACCTGCCAGTCAGACCTCAGAGAAACATAATCCTGTGCTATGTTTCAGCAGCTTGAAGGATGAGCCAGGCTCAGTATGCTCTCCTCTGGTGGAGAAAAAGGTGCCAAGAAGGATATGCACAATGCAGGGAGCTCATAAAGCCTGCAGGGTGAGGCAGCAGCGAGGTGCATTGCTAGCAACATTCCAGCTGCAGGGAGGTATGTTCTCTTGGCAACCTCATGCATCCCTGGTCCTTTTTGCACAGGGCTCACTGCAGCCTAAGCACTGTTAATTAGGAGCTTACCAGCATCCAAAACTATAAAACCAGTATAATCATAGAACCATAGAATCACTGAAGTTGGAAAAAAACCTCTAAGGTCATCTGGTCCAACCACCAACCCATTCCCACCGTGCCCACTGACCAAGTCCCTCGGTGCTACATCTACACAGCAGTGCTAAGCAGGGGGTGCAACTGTCCTCTTCAACAGGACAGGGTAAAACTCTCACATTCCATTGCTGGACAGGCACTGCAAGTGACTGATGGGCTCCTCAGACTGTCTTGGCACTGCAGTGTCAGACTGGAGCTGTTTTCTTAATAAACTGGACAGTGAAAATCAGGGTCAGATGCTTTAGCCATTGGTAACTGGCTTGAAAATTCAGGCTGCATTTGAGCTCTTTCATTTCCTTCACCCATTAAGAGCCTCTATCCTCTGAACTATGAAAAAACAAAAAAAAAGAGAGAAGTGTCTGGCTGTCACTGCTAGCACTGATCTGCTGGATTTAACATTAAATGCCGAGTCTTGAGACTGCTGCTAGGACTCATGAATGTTAAAATCAGTGAACTCTTCCCCCTCTACTACTCAGCAGCCTTCTAGCAAGAGAAGCTACAGTGATGAATTGACAAAAGTCACTGAAGCACTGCCTCAACCTCACATCCACAGGCTGTCCTGCTGGTTGGTATGAAGCAGAGATGGAAAGAAGAGAAAGCAGAGCATGCAGAGCAGGGTAAGCTGGGAACCCACGCCCATGCACAACCATCTGCTGGAGGCTAATGCTGCACTGAGTCCCCAGCACCCTCAGCAGAGCTTTAGCCTGAGCTCCTACTACATCCCCAAAGCTTCCCCAACTGCCACTCTCAATGGACTGAGTCTGCATCCTTACCACCTCAAAACCCCTGAGTTTGGGGCCAAGAGATACAATTTCCAGCTTTACTTTCAACAGGACCACAACATTTAAGACCATTCAAGCTTTTCATGCGACTCCTGAGCTTGGAATTGAGGAACAATGAGTGCATTTCTCAACAAACATACACTATCAATGCACGAGGTGAGGCTCCCAGCAGCCAGCAGGGCTTTCTCCCAACACATGGCATGCTGCTCTGTCTGGAGCCATCCAGCTTTCCATTGAATTCCCCATGTCATTCCCTTGGGATATGGGCTGGTTTGGATGCAGTCAGCTGTGTTCAGCTAAGACAACCTACTTGTCTGTGCTGCTAACACCCATGCCTGCAAACCTGACCTCTGCTTTTCAAGGCAAATAAAGCTCAGCACTGAAATGACAAGACTGTCCTTTGACACAGCAACACTCAGACATGCCTGCCATGTTTGCGTGGCTCAGTGGAGAGCAGTCCTGCCTCCAAACACAAGGCAGCAGCTGGAAGCAGCAGGCTCCATTGCAGCCCTGGCTGTCGCTGGGGGAAAGGAAGCCAGGAAGAGGGAACTCCCTTGTGATGAGTTAGCTCTGGCTCCCAGCACCAGCAGCATGAGCTGGAACAAGGGAGGCTCCCGTGTAATGAACCTGCTCCGGTTGCCAGCGGTGAGCAAAGGAGCTTGGAATGAGCGACCTCCCTGTGCGATGCGGTAACATCACCTCCTAAGGAGGCAGGGCAGGAGACGGCTTCTAGAACGAGCGAGAAATGCCAGGAGGATGCACAGAACGGGGCACTTCCCCGCCAGAGCATGGAGGAGCTCATTAAATCATTACAGAAGGGCGTGCTGCCAAACTGCCCACGGCTCTTTCCTAAACCTGGCCCCACCTCACAGCCATCCCATAACAGCGGCCCCATCCTGTTCCTGCCCGCCCCAGCCCTGTCTGCCTGCCTGGGCGCGGTACCTGCAGTGAAGATCTGTGCAGCCACGGCCAGGAAAGCATCCGTCACCACCGTCTCCGAGTGCAGCGAGATGTTCAGCTGGCGGGCGATGTTGCGATAGACGTTGGGGCGAATGTATTCCAGCTCGTCCCCTGCAAGCAAGCACTCGGGGTCAGCATGCTGGAATCACGGCTGAGGCCGTCCTTCCATCTGGTGTAAAACAGGCAGCACAGCTCTCAGGGTCACTTAGAAGCAGCCCCGGCACCTCGGTCCTTTGTGCCAGTATCGCCTGCGCCCTCCTTTCCCCACAGTCTGAAAGGAACAAAGCCGGCAGCGAGAAACACGCACATACACCTGTGTGAGCTGTTGGAAGGTACACCCTTTCTCAACCTGTACAAAAAATGTCATGAGATGAGAGTGACTCAGGCGTGCTGGAGGCTGACAGAGGCCAGGAATCCACCTGGAGCCACACAGCATTGAGCAGAGACTCCCGGCTCAGCTCTTTGTGCACAGAGTGACAGAGCAGAGCTCCTACCCAATTCCCAGCACTCCATTTGCCTGCCTGGCTTCCCCAGCAAAATTCCTGGCACACACAGGATGTGCTTTCTACCCAGGTTGTTTTTTCCCCAGCTGGGACCCAGTCAGTGGTGTCACGTTAGCTCGAAGATCAAGACAAAAAGAGCAAGAAGAGAACATCCTCCTAGCAGGCTTGTGCTGGAACATGAGCAGCACAGCTTTCCTCTGCAGTCTAGCAAGCCATCCTGACCAGTACAATCGTTAACTGCTATCTCTAACTGTTTTACCTCTCATGGATATTTAAGAAGATGCTGTAGGAGTGTTACACGATGTGAGCATGGCATGGGACCAAAGCCTTGTGTGCATGGAGATTCTCACTTGGCCATCTAGATGAATGCTTGTCCTTCTGCATAGGAGGACACAGGGGAAGAGGAGAGCTGTCAGGGCCCCTAGACATCCATAGGGTCACTTGAGCACTCTGACTTGGGTGGGATCTGTAAGAACCATCGAGTCAATGTCACTGCAGGGCCAAGGTGGCTTGTCCCAGCCAGAAGGCAACCAAGCACCCAGAGGATGACATTAAATGGGAACAAAGGCATCATCCCATCAGGGGTGGCAGGTTAGCAGCTGCTCAACTTGAATTTATAAAACTATTCCCCAGCACTCAGCATAAGACAAGCAGAGCCCAGCTTCACAGGAGGCCACAAACAAATTCTTCTGGCCCCTTGCGCCTGGTGCATTGTTCCACATGGGCTGAGGAAAGAGGAAACCCTGAGCCTGCATGGCCAGGGCTGATAAGAGGCACCATTCCTTATATCCTCAGCAGCTGCTCTGGCTCCGCAAGGAGCACACAGCCTTGTCCCCAGCCCAGAGGGGTGGCTGGGACATAATTTGGGCTGGGCTCAGTGCCTGCAGCCTGCTCCTAGTGCCGCAACCTCTGGTTCAGGTACACCAGACCTACACCACACGTGGTAGGTTGGTCTGAGATCTCTTGGCCATATCATTGGGTTTTACCACCTCTGACTATCCTACTAAGAAGGACAGCTCCCCCTTCTTGCTGCACGGGAACCAAGCAAGCCATGGCTCTCTCCAAGCAGATTTTGTCAGCCAAGCCTCTCCATCTGGAGGAGAATCAGTGGTAGCAGAGTCACCCAGGAGACGCCTCCAGACACAGGCTGCCACCTGCTCGCCCTTCAGTGTCCTCCTGGCCTCCCACAGAAGATCTGGCTCAACCCCAGGCCAAGAAAAACTGGGGAGACAAAGAGGCAGCCAGGCTGACAGATGGACAAAAACAACAGAAGATTCAGCATACGAGAGAAAACACGTAAAAGAAGAGTAATTTAATAAAAGCCAGCCAAAAGAAAACCATGTATGCCTTAAAAACAAATTTGGGATAACATCCAAAAGAACTAGAAAGAGGAGAAAGTGGGGGAACCAGTCTGGTACTGATTTGGTTGGGCTCAGTTAAAGGTTGCTTCACCAGACTTACTTGAACTTTGGTGTAATTAAATCAGATGCAAATGCCAATGGTAGTTTCCAAGCCAAATGTGAACTGATATTCCAACCTGCAGGCAAAGAGGGATGTTGGAAGCAACCTCCTAGAACCAGAGCGCTGGGATCTAGAGAAGAGTGCTTGACTTGAGCATGCAGGTCAAAGCCTAAAGCCAAAGGTAGGCAATGGGCAGCAGCCAGAGGGTGCACGGGCTGCAAGCACTGCTCCAGAGCTGCTCCCACAGCCATGTCAAGTGCACAGCTGAGTGCTCTGCCAGGGCAGCCGCTGGGTGTCCACAACTGCCATGACTGAAGAAGTCTCTACTGCTCTGTGCTGCTGGGCACAGATAGCCATCCTTATTGTCCTGCATCACAAGGCTTAGTTTGGTGCAGAGGTCCCTGTATCAATGATTGGTACACTGCCCCAAGCATGGAAGATTCTACAGCTGCCCCAGTGACCAAAAACAGGAACAGAACTTGCTAAATGATTGGGGTAGGGAAAGGCGAAGAGAGTACACTAATACACTGCCACTGAAAAGCAGTGTTATAAAATCTCTGGTACACACATCTAATCAATTACCCTTAAACATCTCTGCAACCACCTCTGTGAGCTGCTGATGAAGCCCAGGCATGGAGCTGCCAGGATCCCACCTGTGCCTGGAGAACCACAAGCCCCATTCAAAATGCCAAGCTGAGAAAAACTATAGAGAGAAACAAAACTGTCACGCAGATGCAGTTTTACACAGTTTTTTTTACATCATTTGCTGTTGGGTCTCGGAACCACAGTGCTGAGCAATGACCTAAAAGATGAAAGATGTGCAAGCCAAGGAAGATTCCCAAGCCCAGACCACATGCAGGGACTCACCCAGGCGCAGCAGGATGGCAGACACCTCAGCCAGCTTGCCGCCAGGCATCGGGGTATTGTGCTCAGGTTTGCTCCAGCTGACGCCTGCACGGATCAGCCTCGAGTTGATGTAGTCCCTGCAGAGAGCCTTGGCTTGGGACACAAGCTCCTTGTCAGTGGGAGACCTGTCAAACACCTCCATCACCTCTGCAGCAAAGACGGAGGAGCGGCGCAGCACTTCCATCCTCGCAGCAAAGCCACCCAGCTCCAGGCTGGGCTGAGCCTTAGGGAGGCAGCGATCCGCGGGGCTCCGTCACAGCTCTCAGGAGCTGCTCTCCCAAGGACAGTTTTTCATTTTACCTGTTGAATAAGAGCATCTTTAAGTTCTCCAGAACTCCTATTCAGGTATCACGCCTTACAGTTACACTGATGTTGGCAGTATCATATTTGCGAGAGTGGCTGCATCCTCTGCCCTGGCTGCTCTGACCCCACCAGCAGTCTGGCCCACAGCAGCTCCCAGCCACTGAGATGTTTTCCCTTTATCTATTTGCATTCAGCAGTTCCAGTATCGCACTGCAGACAGACCGGATGGTCAGACACAGAAACAATTCAGCAGACAACTTCATCTTGTTTCAATTAAACTGGAAAAAAACCTGAATCCCAAATACCAGCTGCAGCAACCTCAGCCAGAGGCAGACATTCCAACGCAGTGGGGCATGGATCTGTCTGGAGGAATGACACTAACAGACAGCACAGGAACAGAGGGGCAGGAACATCTGAGATGTCCCAGAGGCCCTTGGCTGTGGTGGAAGACCTGGTCCTTATCACATTCTCAGAGGGGTTTTGGTTCTGCAGCTTTTTCTGTTTTTATAGCAACATATGTACTGCTACCCAAAATGCTTCAGTAACAGCAAAAAAGGGAATCAGATTCTAAAAAAATGTTCCCAGGTGTGAATGGCTATAGAGAAAACACAGAATTTCTACAGCCATGTGAATTCACGTTGGTCTTTCTAACCCAGTGCTGCTCTGGGAAGCAAATTCAGACCTAAGGCTCTGCCCAGGTGTCAGCCAATGCATTTCTGAGTCCTCATTGTTGGACAGCTGCTTACAATAACGAATTTCAGACTAAACAAAGCCAGTTACTTCTGCTCTTCCCAATGAAAAATATATTTACCCCTCATGTTGCGCTCTGGTCCCCCTCGATGTCTCCTGATGGGTTGGTTCGGTGCTCCTCCTGCAGAGCCGGGTCAGTGGGCGTAGGGCTCCCCACCGTGCCCCCATCCCCACATCCCACTGACAGCCCTGGGCTCGCCGCGCTGCTTTTAAGGGACCCAGAGGCAGAGGAAAGCTTCTAGCTTTAGCCTTGTAAGGAAGATGAAATAACCGGGAGGTGGGGTTGCGGGAACCGGAGAGCTGCGCTTCCTCCTCCCCTTTCTGTGCTCTTAAGGAGGCTCGCTGCAGAGCCATGTCGGCACTACACTGCTGGAGTGAGCAGAGAGTGCTGGAATGGGAGGGGAAGGCCGTGCTGCAGCCATCCCCCCGCCCTCAGCTATGGATTCCTATTAGGGAATCACAGAATCATTAAGGTTGGAGAAGACCCCTGAGATCCCCGAGTCCAACTGCACCTCATGTCACCGTGCCCATTGCCCACGTCCCTCAGTGCCACATCTCCACGGCTCTGTACACCACCACGGATGGTGACCCCCACCTCCCTGTGCAGCTGTGCAGTGCCTCGCTGCTCTGTCTGAGCAGAAATGTTTCCTGCAGAAAAGAAATTCTACCAGCCCAAGAAAGAAGAATCTGAGTAAGCTGCATCCTTTCCAACAGGAGCTGCCCATCCCTGACCCATTCCTTCCCTGCAGAATGCACTCTGTGGCCTCCTGAACAACCATATTTCTGCCTTTGCAACTCTCATGGCCAAACAATCATTAAAAATGTGGCCTAAGCTACAGCAGCTGACAGCTTGAAACAGAAGTTCTGTTTAAACTGCTCCTATTCAGTAGAGCCCTGAAACAAAGATGAGGGCTTAAATATCAGTATTGCTTAACTAATGATCATGTTTGTCAGAATTCTGGCAGGCGTGCAGGTGCCACAGACCTTCCCTGCTCTCCTGGGTGCCAATCCCACCCCACATGTTCCCTGCCCGCTGTCACACCAAAAGATGCCTCTTTAGATGGTAGTACATGAAAGCTCAGCACACAGCACTGAGCCGGCCATGCAGGAACAGTGCTGCAGCCCAGGGAGCTGCTGGTGTCTGCTGAGCTCCTCTGTCCATAACACATTCAGGCTACAACATTTGGAGGCTAAACCTATACTGGGGAACCCTCGTGGCAAAGGACTACCAGAAAACGGCACTGAAACACTTGTTTCACCCCAAAACATTGTTCCCATTGTAGGTATCCGTGGCATGGCAGTGTTTTGGCTCCAGCAGGCTCTAAATTACAACTCCTGCCTATCTATCTCAGATGGGGACGATCAGAAAAGCTTGGAGCACTCACTTCCTAAAATAAGAAGCAAAAAAAAACCCAACAAACCAGGGCTATACCTCATAAACAGGGCTGCTCTGGCAGAGCACCAGCACCATAATGGTCCTCAGCCTTCCACCATGCCACCCTGACCCTCTTGCATCACCTCAGCCATTCTGTCTTTCCCCACTGCCTTTCCTGGTCCATTTAGGCAGCAGCTCTTGGGTTGTGTTGGGAAGGGATCCTTTACTGCTGTGAGTGCCCACGGGGTCACGCTACAGGTTCAAAGCCATTGGGGCACTAACAGGAGGATCAGCAAGATGAGAAGAAACAGCACTTTTCCTACAGAAACATCTTGCCAGCTCTAACAGAAAAACAATACATGGAAGTAGCAGCATAATGGGACCCAAGCAGAACACAGAGGGTTTTTGAACTTTCCCCTTAATTCTGAAGGGCTCAGTTCAGAGCCTCATGGAACCCAGGCAGTTATTTGCAGTATTCTGTGTAGGAGATTGCCCCGAGCACCTCTCCTGAGCAGCATCTTGCAGTGCTGTGTTCTGTAGCAGAACAAAGGGGCTGTGTTGCAGGCAATGTTACCTTCCACAGCCTCCAGATGGTTCACCTTCTCAAGTACACAGGTCTGGTGGTTTACACTCATCAGGATTAGTAAGCAATCCATTACTTAGGGATCCGACAGATTATCACTAACACCAATGTTCTCTTCTCTTAGCTGTCATGCTCACTGCTGGTGTTTGTAGGCACAAGTCTCCTGTTATAAACATGCCTATATACGCACATATGTAGATACACATGTACAAAGACATGCTGTACTCCAGGACTGGGGTACAACCCCATGGAAGGGAAACTGGAATGAACTTCCTATTACTAAGCAGTGCTATGAGCTGAATCCTCATCATCTCCACCCTTGTTCCCAAATTTGATTTCCCATGAAGAGCACAACCATTGCCACTCAGGTATCAAGCCACAGTAAAAGAGCAGCTCCAAGCTGTGATTTGATAGACAAAACTTCATTTCTTAGCACAAACAACATATTTACATATTGTACCACTAAAATAGAAAAAGCAAAAGCACAGCATGAGGTCAACATCCCCAAGGGAGCAAAGAGGATTCTCCCCTTTCAGTCCCTAAGGCACAAGGGCAGAGGATGAGCCTTGGCTTCACTGCAGCAATCGATCAATCCCCAGGATGGGAACCAGGTCCCACACCTCCATGCAGGGATGCTCTCACAGGTGCAGACAGGTGAAGGCAGGCAGATGCCTCTGCCTGCACTGACCCTGACATCTCATGAGCCCAGATGGGTGCTGTACTGGCTCGGCAGCATTTATGAGCTCTGATGCATTGATGTGCAGCCTAGAGACACGTGCCGGGGCACAGCAGTGTCCTACACAGGCAGATGGATTGCTGGAGCTGATAACAAGGAAGGAGTCTGCCTTGCACATGTTTGCATGTCCTAAACATGCCCTGAAGTATTTCTGCACATTCAGGACACAGCTCCGCTTTTATCTTAAGCCCTTGGTGACTTTTGGAAAGGCTCAGCCTCTAGAGCTGGGCAGGGCAGCAGAAGGAAACCCTGTCAGCTTTGCCATCAGACAAGTGTCCATGAAGCCACAGCCTACTGTCACCTCTGCATACAGAAGTGCAGCTGCAGTGATTTGGAACTGCGTGGTGCATTGCACAAGGCAGATGGATGCTGCCAGCAGGTAATCACCAGAGCCTTGTGCAAGAGCAGAGACAGCTCACCAAGTGCAGCTTTCCCAGTGCTCCCACAATTACAGCCTTCATGAGTTGTGATGGGAGAGTCTCACTGAACAAAAACAAAGAGACTACAACTTCTTGTTACCTGACACTGAGCTATCCTGATCGGTTCTGGAGAACAGGCAGGACAAAGCTGCCCCTCCTTCTACCAGAAGGGTGAGTGCCCAAAGCAAGGTTATTTACATCTGTTGGCTTTGAACTCCAGAATTTCCCCTACCTGGACTTGGAAAGCTTTGGGCTGGAGCGTTTACCTGATTCTGAAAGGCAAGAAAGGAAATTTGAACATGATTTTGAGGAGCCCCAGCACTACCTTCAATGGGCTCCACAGCACGGCCCTCACTTTTCCAGGCTCACTGCAAGAGCTGCTGCTGGTCCTGGGCCACCCGCCTGAGTGCTGCCACGTATCAACAGCTGGCACTGCATGCTGGAATGCCAGCAAACTGCTGGCCAGGTGCTCAGAGCCAACGATGCTCAGGGTGGGCCCAATTCAGACAAAGCATTTGAGTCAATTTTAATCATATTTCAGAATCAGCAAGCAGGAAATCTTGTTTGAGGTCACCGATTTTAATCTGTTTTTGCATTTGTTTCTCGGGTAGGGTGAGTCTCAGTTGGAATTAAGACCTGTTTACTTGCAAGTAAGCACAGCTCAGTGCTACATTTCCCCTCTTGGCTAAAAAGGAGGAAAATTATGTACTAAAGCAATTCTATAGCTGAAACAAATGAGAAATCTGAACATATTGCAGGTGCTAAGCATTCTGTGTTCTGCTTAGCAGGTTATTCATGTCACTTGGTGTATGCCCTCCTGAAGAGTGATCCAAATGCAATTAGAGATAAATAGAAACAAATGATGTCTTTATGTGCTAAATTAAAAGAGCAAACGTGAAAAGGCTGTTAGAATTCATAAAGCACCTGAGACAAAACAAAACAAAAGAAAAAGAATATGCTTGATGCAGCTACCGAATTGAGTCAACTGCTGAAATGAATAAGCAGCTTCTGACACCAATGGCCTTTTTCACCGTCCCAGAACCCCAGCCAGCTCAAACCTGATGTCTTCAGTACACAAGAGGTCAATCAGTTAAACTAGAATTAGGGGAAGCTTTTCCAAGGAATGAAGAAATATGTAAAACTGTGGTTCTGGGGGAGGGAGGTTTCTCATTCAAGTCACTGCTTTCTGCTGAAGCAAGCAGAGCAATTTTCAGACCCAACAAATGCTTCAGTATAGAACCATAGAATCAAATCATACAATCGTTAAGACTGGAAAAGACCACCAAGATCACCAGGTCCCACCACCAACCCATCTGCCATGCCCAAGAAGCTGCAAGCGAATGGTTATTTGTTCCACAGGAGGGGCAGCGCTGCTTAACATCATCCCTCGTGGTAAAGGCAATTTGAAAGAAGCCACAAACAGTCAGGTCACACACTGGATTGTATCAGAGAGCAGCAAGCTGTGTTTGCCTGCCCCAGAAGGGAGCACAGCCAGCTGCATGGCTTCCCACTGCAGCTGCAGCAGCTAGCATATCTCCTCTGCAGGTCTCTGCAGACAAACAGGCAGGCTGACAGACAAGCTCTGTGCAGCCCTGCATGCTTCCTGTTGAACATCTGTGGTTTAAGGGACAGAGGTGCCCCTCTACCAGAAGTGACAACACAGGGTAGATGTTCAGCGTGAGTCATTTAACAGGCAGAGCTTCTTAATTTAAAAGAAGTGGGAAATGCTTACCCTGAGTTTTGAGAGAGAGATCAGCTTCACGCAGACCTGCACAGCATCTGTGCGAGTTTCTCCTGCGCATTCCCAAAGCAACTCCACACCCAAGGTCTGGTTTCTCATGTCCTGGTAATCACAGACCAGGATAGAACCAACACACTGCCATGTTTCTTGCTGGCACTTACATATGTCTTGTGTTTTGATAGGAAAAATATATGTTTGGGATTGAAGAATTTCATTTCTAGAAGGAGCCACGAGATCAGATCACTGCAGTGCGTGAGACCGATTCACTAATCTGCCTGAATTATCACTTAGCCTTGCAGAAATTAATGTCACAGAGCTGCCAATGGTTCTTTTGGTCCAGCAAAGGACAGAATTTTGATGCTGGCATCAAGCCCCACATCAGAAAGATGCATAAAGGAGTAAGTAGCTTTGCAGCTTCTTATTACACAAGACACAAAAGTCTTCTCAGAATCCACATCTGAGAAACAGTGCCCCCAAACAATTCATTTTGTGAATCATTCTGTTTAAAAACGTTGCTGGACAAATGCAAGAAAAGAGGAGTCTTCCCTTAACAAAGCATGGACTGCTAGGTTTTCCTTGCACAAAGGGTCTCAGAGCTCATGAGAGCTCATTTCTCAGAATATGTATCTCCAAGTAATCGGTTTCATGTAGTGTTATATTTTAGTCTAATGGCATGAAAAGCATGGAGGTTTCACAGAGGAAACCCTGAACTCAGAAGGGGTCAGAAGCATCTCAGGAGAGTGAGTGGGGCTGTCATCTGGACTGCAAAGATCTTTGTGAACGCAAACATGAGTACAGTGTGGTTCTATCAGAATTAGAGCTGCATGCTCTGCCCCTGGTTGGCCCATCTGCACAGGCAGTGGCAGGCAATTATCGCACATTTCTTTCCTGATTCTGGCTATTGCCATCTTTTTCTCCTCATTTTCTGCAGTGAACAACTCCAAGTGGATTCCTCCATATCCAGTTTAAAAGCAGGCAGGGAATGAAAGCACGATGTCACGCTGTTGGTTCCAGCAGAGCACTCTGTTCTGTTTCAAAGAGTAGACACACTAATTTCCATAGCTGTGCTGTGGCTCCAGACAAGGCTGTCTCTTCGAGTGCTCAGTGAGTGCCAGCTCTGTCCCCAGGTGCTGGCTGCTGCGCAGCTCATGCCCCATCACTGGCTCCCATCATTCACTTTGTTAAACAGGGATGCTCTGGGGTCTCCTGCTATCAGCACAGGACTCCCAGGGCAGTCCGAAGGGACCAGCTGGGAAGGCAAAGCATCCCTGCAGATCCATTCCTGCCTAAGCAGAGCGCCAACGTCTGTGAGGGTTTAGGATTCAGCTTCATCAGCTGTTTTCTGCCGCTGCACAGGAACATGGTTTGGAAGAACAAGTACTCAGCGCTCTCAGCTTGGAAGCAGCCTGGCTTAATTTGAGGATTAGTCATTGGGAGAGAAAAGATGCTCAGCCAACCCAGGAGTCAGCTCCACTTGGAGCTTTACAGCTGCAAGAGCCACTCCTGCTTATTCCACTTTACCAGCAGCACTGGGAGATAAAGGCCCTTTTCTTTGCTGAACACTCAAAACAGTCTTAAGAGCCACGATATCAGCAGGAAAAGAGAGCCTCATTATTGCAAGACTTGTAGTGAGAGAGTCTGCAGGAACAAGAGTGCTGGAGCTCAGGCAGCACGCTGCAGCTTCCATACAGCTGGGGGCTCTAGAAGGGGAACCATAAGAGCAAGCGGGCTTCTACAGCACTTGCTCAGTGTGTTCTGTCTTGGTAGGTAGGCACAGGTTCCTCTTAAAAGTTGTCCTCGCATCTCCTATAAGGAGCAAGGTTTAAGGCCTGGAGAAGTTCACAGCTGCCATCACGCAGCAGTCACCTCATGCCTAGCAGTGCCTGGCAGGTGGGGTGGAGCTCATCAGCCCTATCCCTCGCACTGAGTGAGCACTTGAGGTTTGGAGAACTCTATTCTAGTACTTTGCTTTGCTAAATCCACATAAGGCACTCGCTGCTTCAGTTCAAAACTTTCACCATAAAGAAGGCCGACGGGGAAGAACATCCCATTTAACACTGTCAGCATAGCTTGCAAGTTGAGGCAGAGGCTGTTTTGGCACAGCCTAGCATCTGCTGAACAGAAGCTCAGTGGCCCAGTCTAGACAGCAGCCGTAAACCACAGCGAGGAGGAAAGCTGCTGGCAAAGCCCAGTTCTTGCTTCCTCCATACAAGTGCATTCTTCCCCGCAGTTTGGAAGCTGCTCCTGGGAGGTGATAAATTCAATGTGTTTCTCCTTTCCTTCTCTAGTTTCGCTGCTTAACTGCCTTCCGCAGGCACAGCGCTGTTCTGCACCGCTCACCTCCAGCAGCTCAGCGCAGAAGAGCACTGCAGCCCGTCGGTGTGCCGATGCCGGAGCTCCTCTTTGGACCGAGCTGTTCCTCACCCAGCACCACGGAGCCCAGCAGGGCCGCGTGCCCCTCCAGAGGCACAGGGCTGCAATCCGTGGTCGCCACCTGGTGGCAGCGACACAAAACAAAGCGGGCTTGCTCCACAAACCCGCTCGCCAGCCCCGATCGCTCCCAGAGGCGGCGATTTGCCGGGCAGGGACGCTTCTTGAGGCACTTCACGAGGGCTCGCCTTAAATGAAACCAACACAAGGCGTTAAGCACCGCTCCCTGCCGCCGTAACCCCAGCACCGCAGCGCACAGCCGGCGCCGCGCAGTGCCACGGGAGCCGTAGTCCGCGCCTCCGCTTCCCCTCAGCCGCTCCGCCCGCCCCGCGCGCGGCTCGCCGGGACACGCGGTCCTTACGGGCGGCACCCGGGCGGCGCGGGGCGGGGCGGGAACTACAGCTCCCAGCAGGCGGCGCGGCGCGGCCTCCCCTCCCGCTTCCACTCGGCGCCGCGTCGTCGCTCCCGGCGCCGCGGCCGAGCTCGGTGTCCCAGGGCGGGCGGCGGCTCCGCGCGCCGGGTCCCGGCATGGCGCCGCACAGCGCTCCGCCGGGGGGACGAGGGCCGTAGGTGGGGGACGCGGAGGGACCGGGGGGGCGGAGCGGGGATGGCGGGGCCGCGCGGGCGAGACGGGTCCGTGCACAGCCGCTGTGTTGTCTCCCGCAGCTGAGCGCCGGCCGAGGAGCGCCGCCCGCGCGGCCCCGAGGATCGCGCAGGCATGGCTCACCTGAGGGACTTCGCCAGCCAGGTAAGGGCCGCCCGCCGCCGGCAGTCGCGGCTCGGCTCGCAGCCCGCAGAGCCGCGCTTTGTTCGCTGGCAGCTGTCGCCCCGGCCTTCGGCTGAGGCGGCCTGGGCACACCGCGCCGAAACCCTGCGGAGCGGGCTCTGTACGCTCGGTGCGCCGCTGGGTCACAGCGATGGATGTGCTGCTGCGGCTTCGGCATCCTAAGGGCTTCTCCGGCCTCAGCGATCCCGTGTGACGCTGAGCGCTGGGGTGTCCTACCCCTCGGGGGCTGTAAGTACGTCCTGCTGTCGTGATGGCATGAGATGATGTCGTGACTCGAGGCTAACAGCACGTGAGCGGTATCAGCTTGGATCATCCTTCTTCTGAGCTTGGCTACGGGCATGTTTGGTGGTTGGCAGGTGTTAGCGCTGAGTGCACATCTCTGGGGAGAAATCTGGGTGTTCCTCTTTACATAGAATCAGAAGAGCCCCTTAAAGGCATCTGGTCCAACCTCTGCACTGAGCAGGGACACCCACAGCTCCATCAGGTGCTCAGACCCCATCCATCCTGACCTCAGGTGTCTGCAGAGATGGGGCAGCACCACCAATCTGGGCATCCTGTGCCACTGCTTCGCTGCTCTTAATGTAAGAAACTTCTTCCTTCTGTGATCAGTATCCAGTTTGAAACCTCTTCTAGTTTGAAACCGTTTCCCCTTGTCCTGTCACAGCAGACCCTGCTGAAGTGAAGTCTGTCTCCTTCCTTCTTAACAGCCCTTCTTCAGGTCTCTCTGGAGCCTTTTCACAGAATCACAGAATGGCCTGAGTTGAAAAGGACCACAGTGATCACCTATTTTCAAACCCCCTACCACAGGGAGGGTCACCAACCACCACCAGACCAGGCTGCCCAGAGTCCTTTCCACTTATAGTTGTAGTACGACAGCACTAAAAGCTTCAGCAGTTTGAGATGATGCTTCCTCCAAACCCCTTCTGGTTTAAAATTGATTTGCAATGCATCTTGGTTTGCATGCTGCCTTTCACATACACTGTTTCCTCAAAGCACTGGTGGAATTAAATGCAAATTTAGTGCCTCAGTGAGTCACAGTACAGGGAGAGAAATGAGAGAAGGAAGGATTCTGTCTGCTCAAGGCAGGGAGCTGAGCTCTGTTGGTGCAGAGTGGTTGCTCTGAAGCTTTTTTGTAGACAGCGTTCAACAATAGAGACTATTAAAAAGTTCTGGTTATCTAATCTGTAAATTAGGCAAATGTCAGGTGTCTTAAGAGATTATCATACTGTGCTAACTCCAGAGCTCAAATAGGAAAGCAGTGTGTGTTACCTGTTCCTTCCTTGGGTCTCTTCTAGAATCCTTGGTGGCACCTTATACTCCGTTTAACTGGGGCTTCCTGGAAGAGCAGTGAGAATTGGCTTAAAGTTCTGTGTGGTAATTGTACAGATCAGTACAATGGGAAAGGCATTACAACAAAGGTGTGACGATGGAAGGACCAACACAATAGAGAGCTGCTATAAAGGAAGGGCAGAAGATTGTTGGTTTACAGAGGAAAGCTTCACCAAGGAGGAATCTCCAGAGAGATCCTTCCCCAATGGCAGTCAGCCCTTAAATGAGGTCTAAGAGAGGTGCAGCCAGGCTCCACCTGTTCCAGTCACACAGCTGAATTGCCTTCACCTGTGCTCCCAGGGCTGATCAGCTCCTTTCCCGGGTGCTCGGTCAGTGCTTCAGGCTGGGACTCAGCAGTTCCCATATATTCTGCTAGCCAAGTCTTAAGCATTGGTGAGGAGGTGCTGTAAAAATAGAGAGACTATAGGACTTGGATTGGGATGTCAGGGTCTTGACTTGTCCTTATTCCTTATCTGTTGCTGATGTGCTGGGTTACCTTAGGCAGATCCCTAAGCTGCTTTATCTCAGTGCTGCTCCCTCCCTGCCCAGGCCAGCTGGGTGCTCTCTTCTCTAGGTTGACCTTTGCTGTGTACACACAGTGCAGTGGGCCTCTGTTGGGAGCTCTACCCTCTCAATGATGTATTTGCATTGCAGTCTTTAAAGCTCCGAATCCAGCTTGTTTCCAGTTCTGTTGTTCCTTTAAGTGACCTTGAGAAACTCTCAAGTTCTTTAGCTAATACTTTCTTACCTTGAAGCAAAACAGTGCTATCAGTGAAGCAAGTTGGGAGTCTCAGACAATAGATTATGTATGTGTTTCATATTTGAGGTTCAAAATGTTGAGAATTTCTCTCTTGTACTCCTGAAGCTGGAAACTGTCTCGGGTTCAGCAGCTGACCGTGCTGTCGTTTCACAGACAGGGAAGTTTCAAAGAGATTAGATCCCAGATGGCACATTACGGGCGGATCATCCTCGTCCTTCTCACACTTGTTTTCTTTCTGTGTGTACAAACAAGATAGTGCTCTGTGTGCTGCCCAACTCTGAGCCATCTCTAGTCTGAATGCACTCAGTGGGGAGAAACAGCACGAGGCCTTCTGCTCCAGAACTGTGATGTAACACAAGCAGTCAGACAAAAGGTGAGCAGTGAAGTGCTCATCCCTTGAAGGCTTATACATTGCAGCACAACAAGGAGAGCAGTCAGCTCTTCTGGCAGTGACCCAGAGCTCTGCTCTGCAGCCCTCGTGGGGTCTGTGAATATCTAAGAAAATGAGAAGATCTCAAGTTGGCCAAGAGTTGCAAAGCTGACAGGTGCTAATGATGTGCTTTGGGTTATCTGTGACTTTTTATGCAGGTGTGAGTTATTTCATCTGGCTTCTTGCATTTCTACTAATAAAGTTTGTAGCTTTGCAGGGCAGTTCTCTGACAAAAAGACTGGTGCTGAGATCAGTGGGTATTTAGAAAAGGGACAGATTCTGCTTTTTATGACCCCTCATTGCAGTGCTCCACATGAACAGATTTACTGGTGCAGGAGCGAGTCAGGTTACACAAAATGTGTTATTCTATTCCCCTGCATCCTGCTGCAGTGTGGCACAGGGCATACTCTCACCCTGTCACCTAAGAGCTTTGAAGCATTTCCAAATCAGTTTTGAAGTGCAAGCTACAGCAAGGTAAATCTAGCACCTGCAACTGAATAGTTCTGGCCTCATTCCTTCTTCTCACTCAACAGGATTTCCAGGTGCATTCCAGTCAAAAATACAGAAGGGTAACCAAATATCAGAGTTGTATTACTTTCTTGAGTTCCTTGGGCAAAGTTTTCTTGTGCTTGTCATGGTCTGTCTTCTCTACCACCCCTGAGCTGCTTTGTTCCTCAAAAAGCACGATACACCTACCTCAAAGTATAGACGCTTGTTCAGGAAGCTGTGATGACAGAGCCTGCAACACAAACTGCTGGCTGTCCCAGAAGCTGCCTGCAGCAGCCAGTGCTCTGCTGTTTGATGTCCCATTCTTGAAGAGTTTCAGCCCCAATTCCTCAATGTGCCACACAAGGCTGAGAAGGGAAGCAGTAGCTCATCCCTTGTCCTTTGTTTTCTCATGGAAAAATGATCCAGGTAGGAGGAGAGGGAGGTTTCCTTGCAGTCTTGCTGCCCTGCAGAATGTGTGCTGAGCCAGGTGCTGCTCAGAGATGGTTCTCTTTCTCTCCTTGGTGGCTGGCTGGTGGGATGAATGATGTTCCTCCTGTGCAGCAGGTGACTGCGTGAGGCAGTGCCTGGGCCACTCTGCTGCCCCTTCTTGTTAAAGAGGCCAACAGGTGGGAACTGCATGTAGTCAAGCTGTTCCTCCTGCACCACAGCTGTTGTTCTTGTGCTGGTTTCTGACACTTCTCAAGCTCAGATCTTCCTTTCCTTCACTCTCTCCACTCTGTTATGTATCTCCATCTCATTTCCTCACTGCCTATCCCCTCCAGTCTGCTCCCAGTGCGTTTGTTCAAATACAGCCTGTTTGGGTGTAGCCGTGGATGCAGAAGGATATTTGGTTATCCATCTGTATCTTGGACTGGAATGCATGTGGAAATACTGTTGAGTGAGCTGACTGTGAAGCTTACTCCCTGCAGCAACGTACTGGGTGCAGAAGGCAAACAACGTGTAATGACTGCTTGGTTAATCAGTAAGGAGCACCCAGGGATGCTGCTAAACCTGGTGCTAGTTGCAAAAACACCACTGCCTCGTGCTCAGATAAAATCTCTGCCCAGCTCAAAGTCCTTGCATGGGAGTGGTCCCTTTGGGTGACGTGTGAGGTGAGACTGAGAAGTTCTGGGTGTGGAGAACTCCCTGTAACCACTTGTCTGCTTCCTGTAGGTCAAGCTGTATTTGCCAGATTTTTTTTCTTTTTGTTTAAACTAGACCTTTTTTTA